ACGGGACTTCTGTGCCCTCTCCAGATGTGCCACTCTCCCCAATTTCTACATTTGTCCTCTCCAGGTGTGCTACTTCCCCCAATCTTCACTTGTTCCCCAACCCAGAAGCTCTCCAAACCCCGTCCTTTTGGTTTTTTATGAAGGCTTCATTACATAGACCTGACTGATGAAATCATTGGCCAGAGGGTCAGTGGAGGTGGAGCCAAAAGTTCTAACCTTCTCATCACATGGTTTGTTCCCTTGGCAACCAGCCTCCATCCTTGGATGCTTTTCAGAAGTCACCTCATTAATATAAACTCAAGGGTGGTTACTCTTATTAGGAAATTCCAAAGATTTTAGAATCTTTGTGCCAGAGATGGAACAAAGACCAAATATATATTTATTATAAATCACAGTATCGTGTCAAGTAATACTTTGTGCTATCTTTACAGCATAGAGTGTTGACATAATAAATTGGATATGGAGGAGTTGAAGATACCAAGAATTTAAAGTACAGTGCAGATATAAGATGTTTCTAGACCTCTGAGGCTGGCAGAGCAGGTAGAATACCACCAGCTGAAGGCAGACCGCAGTCTCAGATAATAATGTTATGATGTTATGATCTAGTAAGTCTAGGACTTACTAGACTCCTGTTACCGAAATGGGGCTTGTCAGATAAAGATAACATTTCTAAGTGGAAGGTGGCATCCTGAGGGGAAAAGCCACCTGGTTTTGGTAATTGTCAGGAGGTAGAGGGAGAGTTTGGAGGGAGGCCCACTCAGGGGCATGTAGATTGTGGAATGAGAGTTAGAAGATAATGACAGACATGCTCACTAGTTGTACCTCCTCCATCGGGTCTCATGCTGTGAGTAACAGTCACCTGACTTGCCAGGACTCAGCTTGGCTCGCCTGGATGTATATCTGGGGGTAAGTGAAATGCTAGTGGGTCCCATTTCTTTCAAATGGGGCAATGTGTTTGAGGATGGAGATAGTGATGTTGATTAGCAAATTGAAGAGGGAACCTTTTCCCTCTGGTGGATCCATGGTCAAGAGCAGGTATGTGACTTTTGGATACCAGGGTGATAGTGTGGAAGAGCTTAGGGCAGAGAATGAATGTAGGTCAAGAACATTGAGTGTCTTTGTGAGTCAGGCTTTGAGCTTTATGTACATTATATAGGTTCCATTTAATCCTCATAGAAATTCTATGCATTATCATATGCATTATTCATATAAGAAAACTGAGGCCTGAAGTATGAAGGGATTTGTCCAGGATCCCACAGGCAGTAAATGGTGGCCATGATTTAAGTGTCAGTTTTCCAACCTTAAGCCTTGGGCCCTTTTATATGCACCATTGCCAGAATCTGCTCCTTCCACTGGATGTTGATGGTTGGCCCCCCCTTCCCACCTCTTCCTGCTGGTTGCAAAGACACCTGAGTACAGTGTAAAGAGCCTTGAAGTTAGTGCGGGGATACCCTTGGAGTTTCATCGCGTGCTTCATCTCACACTTTCAGATGTGAAGAAGGCCCACTTGCCTTTTTTAACTCACAGAATTTTGGAATGTGATCATGTGATCATGAAAATGAATGTGCTTACAAGGTGAATGCCCAGTGTCACTGACACTATATGTCCACTCTTCATACTAGAGAATGTGTAGTGCTTCTTAGTCTAAAATGTGTGGATCTGTGGGACATGTTTTCAGGTCCTCTAGAGAGGCAAGAAGCTATTTTAAAACTTGTGCTTTTTCTCACTGATAACAATTTTATTTCTTTTCTTTTGGATTTCAAAGCTTTCTTCAATTAAATGGTTATATGCCCTGCCTGAGACACCACCTCTCGTGCCAGCAGACAGGGCTCATCCCATTGTCTACCTGCAAGTGCCTGTCCACAGAGGCAGGGTGCCCAGTACTTGAAAGCCTGACTAGGCATTGGTGGTCCTGCAGCCACAGGGGTTCCTTGAGAGTCAGGGCAAACCTGGTGCCCTCCAGAATTGTGTCCATTTCAGCTTCCCACTCCTGGCTCACCCTCCTGTCTCGGGCCCCTTCTGTCAAATGTGGTTTAGGGCTTTACCTCCTCAGTGCCCCATCTGTCCCCTCTGCTTCATTC